CTGGAAATGACCAAGTAAGCCGCCGCCGATGAAGCAGTGTGGTAGCTGCTAGTGCTTAAGTGTTGAAAAGGATCGGCGTACTTTTGGGACTGGCTTAGGGGAGAGACTGACGACAGGGAGGTGCCTGTTGAGTAGTGCTGCTAGCTGGTCGCTAGAGACTGCTGCCAGGGGATCGCTACCCCTGTATTGTGACCCCACTCAGCGTGTGGCTGAGGTACTCTGCCAGTGACCGCTGGAGAGTGGTCGTGGGGGTACAGGCACCTCATGACACTGTCAGTGGGCTGGCCCACGTACAGGTGAACTCACCGGTGTTCTTCCCAGTAAGGTTGGATACGCTACTGGACAGTGAAGAAATACTGGGGATTGATGAACTCTGCACGTGAGCACGTTTGATATCCTGAGCTAAAGGATTGTACATAGGTGTAGCAATAGCCTATGTGTTTTTTATATATTATTTATGGTGATGGTGCATATATATATACTTAACTGTGGTGGAAAGATATCTAATACTGACGAAAGGAACAGTGTTTTGTTCATCCCCTCCCTTTTTTTATGCACTACATAGCCACTTTCTTAGAAGCGTACTACCGACTTGGGGTCGGATACTATCATTTTGGTTCTACCATCAAAGAACTCGGTTGCGACCCATAGTGGCCGTAACACCTACAGAGTTCTTCATCAACTTGCTTCCATCCTGAGCTGTGACTGAGAGCACGGTCCACGAAAACATTGACAACACTCCTCATGTACCTCTCTGGGTCAGTCACTATTGGCACTGAGGCACATTCCTATGTTCGTTTCCTAAGTGTAGACTGCAGTGTGGAAGCCTCCGTTCCTTTCCGTGACTGTTACATCTAGAAAGGGCAGCTTCCCATCATTTCCATCTCGTAAGTGAAACTTAACACAGAATTCTGCTCGGGAGGAAAAAACTCCCCAGATACCGAGCATAATGCCTTGAAGGAAACTAACGTCGTCTATGCCTTCAAATGCCCACTTGGGGACTGTAAACCCCAAAGAACTCAGTATATAGGCAAGACAACAACGTCTCTTGACGATTAACAATGCACAAACAACAGGGCTCCATCAAGGAACATATAATCTCTTCTCACAACCAGACCATCACCAGAGAAATCTTAACAAGCAACACAGAAATCATCGATAGGTACAGCGATAGCAGGAGGCTCGACATCAGCGAGGCACTACACATCAAAAAGTCAACACCAGCAATCAACAGCCAATTAACACATAACTACATTCTGCCCACTTCAGGACACCGTATGGGCCAATAGGCCCTCTGCAGTTACTTTCATTCTTTTGTACCCACCTCACCCAAAACTTTTGTGTCAACTCACCCACATCGAAAATAAAAACAAGATGTAGGTTAAATATATCATACACAGTGTATCATAAGTGTAGTGTTAAGTGAAAACAAGTCTTTGAGAATGTAAGAAGCCCTTACGAAACGCTTCTAGGCGTCAGACCAAAAATAAAAATTAATTTTGGAGAGTTGATATTTCAATTACCCTCGACAGTAAAGAAAAACATAAGAAATAATGGAAAAAGTCATGTTAGAATTATTAATCTTACCTTTTTGGTCATATTCAACAACATATATATATATATTAATTGCCTATTGATTGCTGGGCAATCAACAGCTAATTAATGCACAACTATATTCTACCCACTTCAAGACTTCGAACCAATATAGAAGCATCAAGAGGAAGTGTTGACGCTATGGGCCAATAGGCTTTCTGTAGTTACTTCCATTCTTATGTTTTTATACCCATTGGTTCGTGTTCTCTCTTGTGTAAATGTCAATCACCTCACCTAAATGCGAGTATAAGTATGGATGTGTGTTTACAGGTTGCAGTTGTGTGTGTAAACTAAAGTCTTTGAAAATGTAATAAGTTATTACGAAACGTGGTCAGACGTCGCGTCAGACTAGAAATAAAAAGGAATTTTGGAGAATAGATTTTTCAATTACCAATATATATATATATATATATATATATATATATATATATATATATATATATATATATATATATATATATATATATATTGGTGTATACTGGCAGCAGGTTTTCTTTCAAACATGTTTCATGAATATGACCGCATATTCTGTATTTATTATTTTCTGGTTTAGGGCTTCTATCCCTCTAACTATTTTCTTAGCATCAGGGCTTAATGAAATAGGAGTTCTCCAAAACTCATTTTCGTACTTTTAAGGTGAAGAAAAGAAGTGATTTACTATAGAGTGTATTACACTTATTTGTATAATTTGCACGACGTTTCGAACCTCCACGGTTCATTCTCAAGTGAACAGATCTTACAATACTAGTTGATTTTATACCCGCATTAGGTCAGGTGATAATACAATGAAGGTGAAAACATGGGGGGATACATAAGGGATAAATGTGAGGTGAATCATAGAGGCTGCAGAAGGCTTATTGGCCCATACGAGGCATCTCCTATCTAAACACAAAGATTAATCCAGTGTAATTGGCCTGTTATGTTGGACATTGTCTTCTGTGTTGGCATCGATATGTTCTTGTCTTGACCTTACTCTCATGGTGGGTAGAGTAAATAGTTCCGTGATTTGGGTGTTCATGGTAGGTCGCTCTATTCTTATGTGAATTGCCTCAAGAATTTGTAATCTTCTTGAATCTTGGGTTTTGTCTATTATGCAAATATTCTTGTTCAACATTTCTCTTGTTAGAGTAATGTCATGGGCTTGTCTCATGTGATTCCTAGGGGCACCAGATTGAAGATGGCATGTCAAACGCCTCGTCAGCTTGGTCGACGTCATACCTATGTACTTACATTGAGGGTTACATCCTTCGTGGGGGCAAGTGTACATGTATACAACGCTTGACTGCTGTAGAGGGTTCTCCGTCGGCTTCGGGCTGTTTTGATAAGGAGTTCGGAAGTCTTCTTGGTTTTGTAGAATATTATCAGGTTTATGTTTTGGTTAGGAGTAGTGCTTTTACTCCTTTACGGATTATTTCTTTCATTATTCTTTCCTCTTTTATATGTTCACTGTGCATGGTTGATTTGTAATATAATTTTATTGGGGGTGTTGTGGTTTCTGTTCTAGGTTCTGAATTATACCAACGGTCCAAGTGTCTTCTTATAGCAGCGTTTATTTCCGCGTTGCTATATCCGTTGTTCACCAATACCTGAGTTACTCTTTCAAACTCTCTACTCACGTTGCTCCATTCAGAGCAGTGGGTAAGCGCTCGACGAATATAAGCATTGAGAACACTGGCTTTGTATCTTTGGGGGCACTCACTTCTACCGTTCAGGCATAATCCTATGTTGGTGGGCTTGGTATAAACGTTGGTGCTTAAAGAGGTTCCTGTTTTTGTTATTAGTACATCCAAGAATGGCAGACTGTTATTTTCACTATTTTCATGTGTAAATCGGAGTACTGACTCTCTCTCTAGGTGTCTTTTTAGGTCAATTAGTTCATCTGAGTCTTTTACTATTACGAATATGTCATCTACATAACGGCAGTATACAGTTGGTTTTTGTCTGCTACTGAAGACCCTATCTTCGATGGTTCCCATATAAAAATTAGCAAATAAAACTCCTAAGGGGGAGCCCATTGCTACTCCGTCTATTTGTAAATACATGTCTCCTTGTGGACTGATGAAAGGGGCTTCCTTTGTACATGCTTCGAGAAGACTTTTCAAGTGTGGCTCAGGTATGTCTAATTTGGGGGTGCTCTCGTCTCTGTATACTCTGTCCAGTATCATTCCTATGGTTGTGTCGACTGGGACGTTGGTAAATAGGGATTCAACGTCCAGGGAAGCGATGATTCCATCGGGCTGGGTATATTATCAATTCTAGGAAAAATGCTGCTTAATTAGGCAAATCGGGCCTTGCATAGTAGGGCGACAAGTGCGTTCTGGCTACTAGGTACGACATATATATGTATATATATATATATATATATATATATATATATATATATATATATATATATATATATATATATATATATATATATATATATATATATATATATATATATATATATATATATATATATATATATGTGTACCTAGTAGCCAGAACTCACTTTTTGGCCTACTATTCAAGGCCCGATTTGCCTAATAAGCCAAGTTTTCCTGAATTAATATATTTTCTCTAATTTTTCTCTTATGAAATAATAAAGCTACCCATTTCATTATGTATGAGGTCATTTTTTTTTATTGCAGTTAAAATTAACGTAGTTATATGACCGAACCTAACCAACCCTACCTAACCTAACCTAATCTATCTTTATAGGTTAGGTTAGGTTAGGTAGCCGAAAAAGTTAGGTTAGGTTAGGTTAGGTAGGTTAGGTAGTCGAAAAACAATTAATTCATGAAAACTTGGCTTATTAGTCAAATCGGGCCTTGCATAGTAGGCTGAGAAGTGCGTTCTGGCTACTAGGTACGACATATATATATATATATATATATATATATATATATATATATATATATATATATATATATATATATATATATATATATATATATATATGTCGTACCTAGTAGCCAGAATGCACTTCTCGGCCTACTATGCAAGGCCCGATTTGCCTAATAAGCCAAGATTTCCTGAATAATATATTTTCTCTATTTTTTTTCTTATGAAATGATAAAGCTACCTATTTCATTATGTATGAGGTCAATTTATTTATTGGAGTTAAATTAACGTAGATATATGACGAACCTAACCAACCCTACCTAACCTAACCTAACCTATCTCTATCGGTTAGGTTAGGTTAGGTAGCAGAAAAAGTTAGGTTAGGTTAGGTTAGGTAGGTTAGTCGAAAAAAACATTAATTCATGAAAACTTGGCTTATTAAGCAAATTGGGCCATGCATAGTTGGCTGAGAAGTGCGTTCTGGCTATTAGGTACGACATATATATATATATATATATATATATATATATATATATCAACTTTGTTATGTTTTAAATTAATATAACTTACCTTGACTTTTGCAGAGATAGTGAAGCAGCAGAAGAACTTCAGGTGGGCCGCCCTAACACGTACCTGAAGCTACCTGAAACACCTGAAACACCTGAAACACCTGAAGGTAACACTTCCCATCACTCCTCACATTTTCTACGATTCTTGTAATCCTTAGGCTACAAAACTTTTAATGTTGAAGTAATTCTTGAGTAAATGTGTTAAATATTTTTGTAAGCCTTAAGCAAAGTAGGCAAATAAATGGATCAAATTCCCCTGTGTGTTTGCGCGCGAGTGCGTACCTGTGTGTGTACCTGTGTGTGTACCTGTGTGTACCTGTGTGTACCTGTGTGTGTACCTGTGTGTACCTGTGTGTACCTGTGTGTACCTGTGTGTACCTGTGTGTACCTGTGTGTGTACCTGTGTGTACCTGTGTGTACCTGTGTGTACCTGTGTGTACCTGTGTGTACCTGTGTGTGTACCTGTGTGTGTACCTGTGTGTACCTGTGTGTACCTGTGTGTACCTGTGTGTGTACCTGTGTGTACCTGTGTGTGCTCATTTAGAAGTGCTTGCAGGGTGGAACATCAGCTTCTATGACCGAGTTTTGGGCATTTGCTAGTCTAATACAGTGACTCCGTTCTCTCTCATTCGTCGTATCTTGTTAACATATATAATTGTGTATTGAGTTAGACCTAAATGCGTCTGCATCTCCATTATGATTGCGTGCAACAGTAATCGACTTACATACAACTCTGTACCACTTATGAACAACTCTATACCACTTATAAACATCTCTGTATCACTTATATACAGCTCTATACCACTTATATACAACTCTGACTTATATTACAACTTTGACTTATATTGCAACTCTGATCTACTTATATACAACTTTGACCCACTTATGTACGACTCTGACTCACTTCTATTTATCTCTGACCCACTTACATACAACTATGATCTACTTATAAGCATCGAAAAGGATCTGCCATTCATAACAGTGACACATGTTATCTTAGTTATCAGTTATGGCCATAGTTATCCATTATGGCCTCTGGCTCTGCTTCACCCAACTCTGCCCATTACTTATTTGCCTACTTTGTCAAATACCTTAAAACGTAACTAATCTGCCACCCACAAATGATAGTACTTATAGTAACTATTGATCGAACGTACAAAAATTAACTGTTGCACCCACAAAAGATCATATTTTGTAGTATTAATTCTGGGGAGGACACGAGCAAGGAGGCAACCTCATCTAAAATTCTCCAGCCTTAGTAAAGAACGTATGTGAGCTAAATTAGGCCAAAGATGATGGATTTTAATCTACGGTTGATTATTTAGGCCTGAGACAAGGTAGTTGTGGTTGATAGTTACTGTTCTACTCTATATAATTCAGTGGAATTATATATATAATATAATTCCTAAATGTGTCACTTATATACTGAATACTGTCAGTTTGTGGTATTCCAAAAGCATAGAACGCAAATTTTATTAGCCACAACAGTAAACATTTTTACGTTTGACTAACAGTTGCTATAAGTACTGTAATTTATAGAGGATCGGTTGAATTATATATGTCGTTATCATGTCTCTCTCTTCTTATCTTCACCAGTTTGGTAATGCACATGTCTCTATTTTCCCCGATGCTCAAGTCCGGCTCAGGAACGAGCCTTACGGCTTATCTTTGAAAATAAAATATATTTTATTTTGTGATTTTTCATTTTAGTGTTCTATTCCAGGGCTGCATACTCAAAGCGTGTCTCATGTTGGTTGAATGCATGACCCAGAAAATTAATTTATTCAATTTTCTGAATACTTTCTTGGCGGCGAACTGTTTGCCACATACTGTAGACGTTATTCTGCTAATGTGTGCTTCTATCATCATATTTAGGGTCATGTCTACTTTCAGGTCCATCTTCGGTCCTGATTAAGGAATCTGTCTTCATTCTTTACTATTGTCTGGGTCTTCCTATCCTGATAGTAGGGTTAAATCCACTGGCCAATTTTCTGAACAGTGTTCTGATTTTCAGAACCCCGGTTTAGAAAACAAATTCTGATTTTCAGAACACCGATTCTGATTTTCAGAACACCGATTCTGATTTTCAGAACCCCGATTTAGAAGACAGATTCCGATTTTCAGAACCCCGATTTCAGAAGACAGATTCTAAATTTTCAGAACTCCAAAAATTAAATATTGAAGATATATTGAAGATCTCAATATTCTTCCCACCCACGCGCGTGTGTGTGTGCGTGTGGGGGAGTGACGAACTGCTCTGTAGCGATGAAGAGCGGCACTAACGAGGGAGATTATCTGGGGGATAATGGCTTCCTTTATTAACGACATGGCAACTTTTATGATAATGAGTTGCCTAGTTCGGCCCTCAGGAACCATCTTAACGAGCCCAACGTCACTCTGGTTTATGTCACTCTAGTTTATGTCTCTCTTGTTTATGTCACTCTGGTTTATGTCACTCTAGTTTATGTCTCTCTTGTTTATGTCACTCTGATTTATGTCACTCTGGTTTATGTCACTCTGGTTTATGTCACTCTGGTTTATGTCACTCTGGTGTATGTCACTCTGGTTTATGTCACTCTGGTTTATGTCACTCTGGTTTATGTCACTCTGGTTTATGTCATTGGTTTATGTCACTCTGGTTTATGTCACTCTGGTTTATGTCACTCTGGTTTATGTCACTCTGGTTTATGTCACTCTGGTTTATGTCACTCTGGTTTATGTCACTCTGGTTTATGACACTCAGGTTTATGTCACTCTGGTTTATGTCACTCTAGTTTATGTCTCTCTGGTTTATGTCACTCTGGTTTATGTCACTCTAGTTTATGTCTCTCTGGTTTATGTCACTCTGGTTTATGTCACTCTGGTTTATGTCACTCTGGTTTACTCTGGTTTATGTCACTCTGGTTTATGTCACTCTGGTTTATGTCACTCTGGTGTATGTCACTCTGGTTTATGTCACTCTGGTTTATGTCACTCTGGTTTATGTCACTCTGGTTTATGTCACTCTGGTTTATGTCACTCTGGTTTATGTCACTCTGGTTTATGTCACTCTGGTTTATGTCACTCTGGTTTATGTCACTCTGGTTTATGTCACTCTGGTTTATGTCACTCTGGTCACTCTGGTTTATGTCACTCTGGTTTATGTCACTCTGGTTTATGTCACTCTGGTTTATGTCACTCTGGTTTATGTCACTCTGGTTTATGTCATGTCACTCTGGTTTATGTCACTCTGGTTTATGTCACTCTGCTTTATGTCACTCTAGTTTATGTCACTCTGGTTTATGTCACTCTGGTTTATGTCACTCTGGTTTATGTCACTCTGCTTTATGTCACTCTGGTTTATGTCTCTCTTGTTTATGTCACTCTGGTTTATGTTACTCTGGTTTATGTCACTCTGGTTTATGTCACTCTGGTTTATGTCACTCTGGGTTTATGTCACTCTGGTTTATGTCACTCTGGTTTATGTCTCTGGTTTATGTCACTCTGGTTTATGTCACTCTGGTTTATGTCACTCTGGTTTATGTCACTCTGGTTTATGTCACTCTGGTTTATGTCACTCTGGTTTATGTCACTCTGGTTTATGTCACTCTGGTTTATGTCACTCTGGTTTATGTCACTCTGGTTTATGTCACTCTGGTTTATGTCACTCTGGTTTATGTCACTCTGGTTTATGTCACTCTGGTTTATGTCACTCTGGTTTATGTCACTCTGGTTTATGTCACTCTGGTTTATGTCACTCTGGTTTATGTCACTCTGCTTTATGTCACTCTGGTTTATGTCTCTCTTGTTTATGTCACTCTGGTTTATGTCACTCTGGTTTATGTCACTCTGGTTTATGTCTCTCTTGTTTATGTCACTCTGGTTTATGTCACTCAGGTTTATGTCACTCTGGTTTATGTCACTCTGGTTTATGTCACTCTGGTTTATGTCTCTCTGGTTTATGACACTCTGGTTTATGTCACTGGTTTATGTCATTCTGGTTTATGTCACTCTGGTTTATGACACTCTGGTTTATGTCACTCTGGTTTATGTCACTCTGGTTTATGTCACTCTGGTTTATGACACTCTGGTTTATGACACTCTGATTTATGTCACTGGTTTATGTCACTCTGGTTTATGTCATCCTACTTTATGTCACCATGTTTTATGTCACTCTGGCTCAGAGTATAGGTCCAAATTGTTAAAGAACTACATGGGCAGCAACATGGGCAGCAACATGGGCTGTAACATGGGCTGCAACATGGGCAGCAACATGGGCAGCAACATGGGCTGCAACATGGGCAGCAACATGGGCAGCAACATGGGCTGTAACATGGGCTGCAACATGGGCAGCAACATGGGCAGCAACATGGGCAGCAACATGGGCTGTAACATGGGCTGCAACATGGGCAGCAACATGGGCTGCAACATGGACAGCAACATGGGCTGCAACATGGGCTGCAACATGGGCAGCAACATGGGCTGCAACATGATCAGCAACATGGGCTGCAACATGGGCAGCAACATGGGCTGCAACATGATCAGCAACATGGGCTGCAACATGATCAGCAACATGGGCTGCAACATGAGCAGCAACATGGGCTGCAACATGGGCAGCAACATGGGCTGCAACATGGGCTGCAACATGGGCGGCAACATGGGCAGCAACATGGGCAGCAACATGGGCTGCAACATGGGCTGCAACATGGGCAGCAACATGGGCAGCAACATGGGCAGCAACATGGGCTGCAACATGGGCAGCAACATGGGCAGCAACATGGGCTGCAACATGGACAGCAACATGGGCAGCAACAGGAGCAGCAACATGGGCAGCAACATGGGCAGCAACATGGGCAGCAACATGGGCTGCAACATGGGCTGCAACATGGGCAGCAACATGGGCAGCAACATGGGCAGCAACATGGGCTGCAACATGAGCAGCAACATGGGCTGCAACATGGTCAGCAACATGGGCTGCAACATGGGCTGCAACATGGGCAGCAACATGGGCTGCAACATGGGCTGCAACATGGGCAGCAACATGGGCAGCAACATGGGCAGCAACATGGGCAGCAACATGGGCAGCAACATGGGCAGCAACATGGGCTGCAACATGGACAGCAACATG